CAGATAAATTTACTTCATTAATAATTTAACATATTTAAAATATCCTTGTTATAATCTTCTAGCTAATCAATAGATTCTTGGCTAAAGAAAATAATATAGCATAAAAGATATTTTTTAGAGTAATGTACCATATTAATGCTTATGCATCATTTCAGAACATATTTTAAAGCTGAGACTATTTTCATTTTGTTCTAGTGGTATTATTCAAATTTTCTACAGAAATATTCTAATAGCTTGAGTGGTTGTGAAAGTAACATTATTTTAAGCTGTTGGATCTACTTAGCAACAAAGAAGAGAGTTATTCTTGGGCCAAAGTTTTATTGCTGTTCTTAAAAAAAAAAAAGATTCGCTTACTTAGATAAGTGAAGGCAGAATGATGGTGTGGGAATAGATCTTCTGTGCACTGGTTCGCTTTCCAAATGGCTGTAACAATTGGGACTGGGCCAAAGCCTGGGCCAGGAATTCCATCCAGATATCCCTGACACATGCTTGGCAAGGCCCAAGCACGCATGTCATTTTTTCCAGGCGTATTAGTAGTGAGTTTGATTGGAAGAATAGTAGCTAGGCCTCAAACCAATGCTCATAGAGTTTGTCAGCATCACAGATGGAGGATTAACTAGCTGTGCAACAACACTAATCCCTAATGTGGTTTTGCATAGGTTCAGGTAATTTGGGTGGACATAATGTACAGTGTCAGAAAATACCTATTAATTGAAATGTTTTATTTATTAGCAGTATGTCTTTGATAAAATTTAGTAAAGGGGTCGATGCTGTGGTGTAACAAATTAATTCTCTACCTGTGATGTCTGCATTCCATTGTGAGATGCTCTTTCTATTTCTGACTGCTCCACATCTGATTCAGCTTCCTGCTTCTTGCCTGGGGAAAAGGATGGCTCAAATCATTGCATCCCTGCATCCATGTGGGAGACTCAGAGTAAGCTTTTGGTTCCCAGCCTCAGGTCAGCTTAACTCTAGCTTTGGCAGTCATCTGGGGAGTGAACCAGCAGATGGAAGATGTCTGTCTTTCTTTCTCTCTGTAATTCTGGCTTTTAAGTAAAATAAATAAATCAGAAAGTACCTGAAAATTTGGTAAAATTAGTAAATACCTGATAAAATGTAGAAAGAGTTCATAAAATGCACGTGTGAAAAATACATTCCTTTGAGAGTTTGGATTTGACATTCTAAAAAAAAGTTCTTTGTGTACAGTCATTGCACCTGACTTTGAGACCGCATTCTTGTTGCTTCCTTGGGTTTGAGCAGGTCACTCAGTCTCCATGAGCTGCTTTCCATAAATGGAGCCAGACACAAACACCATGACTATTTTCAGAAAGTTTTTTCTAGGAAGCAAGTGTGATAAAAAAATTAAAATGTGCTACAAATGTAAATAATACAGAAATGTTAGATATTGTTGTTACATTAGAAGGTCAGTCACCAGGAAATATTAATATTGTATCCATAGGCAATTTGTGTGAGCATAAAACCTGAGGCTGAAAGTTTCAGCAAGCAGCCAGGAGAATTTTATTAAGTATTTCATAGCAACAGTATTTTACATGTCCAAGGCACATGCAAAATATATAATTGAGACAATATTAAAAAAATTCCTAATCACTGATTTCTGTCAAGGTTTGAAATCAAGATATTGATTATTGATATTATATATATATATATATATATACACCTGAATGTTCCATAAAGCTTGAATATATTATATGAAATATCCATGGCAACATATTTCTGTGATAAATGTAAACATTAACAAGATGGAAATGTAGCTGAGTATGATTTTATAATTATAAGCAATCAAGATTAATTGATATGACTGATGAAGATAGTTTATCATTACAATTATTCAGGAACATGCTAAGAATAACACAATATTCTATATTTTTATAATATTTTCCCATGTGTGATACTATTTTATTCCTGTAGTGATCATTTGAGCTGGCAATGTTTATTCCTCACTTCTGAGACAAATCTGAAGCTTATGGAAATCCAAAAAAATCTAAGAAAACCATAACTGCTAATTAAAGGAGGAAGGAATAAAATCTGTATATTCCAATGTCAAATCTAATACTCTTGGTGATAAGGAAAAACTATCCAAGTTGCAGAGTGTTAGCACCCATTCAGACATTAATTCATCACTGGTTTACTGGCTACTCTTAGGTCTAAGACACAAATGAGGACAGTATTGGATCAGCATGGCCCCAAGTCTGAGGAAGCCAATGGGACAGTAAGAATTTCATAACACCTGTATTGCATTTGGACATGTGAGGCTTAAGACAATTTGGAGAAGTCCTATGGGAGCTAGTTCAATAATCTTACATAATTCAATACTCATTTTAGTGCACTATTAACTTATAATTGGCTGGGTTCAGTAAAACTATCTTTTGGTTTCATACAATAGATTTAAAAATGGGTTCAATTTTATAGCAAATGTTCTCTTGAAGGTCAGTAAGCAAGTTCCACATTATATAAACAATCAAGCAGACAGGAAAAAAATTGTGAATAAGGCTGGCCCAGGCTTAGTTGAATGTACTGAGATTGGTAATACATCCTAAGTAGCATAACTGTAAAAAAGGGAGGATGTATGTTTTGCCTGATATTTTTGATCATAACAAACTGATTTGTTACAATGTAGATCTCAGTGGTTTATTGTAACATAGGGGCACCAGTTCAATCCTGGTGGCCCCGCTTCCAATCCAGCTCCCTGCTTCCAGCTCCCTGCTTGTGGACTGGGGAAGCAGTTGAGGATGGCCCAAAGCGTTGGGACCCCGAACATGCGTGGGAGACCTGGAAGACGCTCCTGACTCCTGGCTTCAGATAAGCTCAGCTCCGACCTTTGCGGTCACTTGGGGAATGAATCATAGGATGGAAGATCTTCCTTTCTGTCTCTCCTCCTCTCTGTATATCTGACTTTGCAGTAAAACAAACAAACAAACCAAACAAAAACCTTCCACATGAAAAAACTGGGTATAGTAAACAAACAAAACCTGACTATTCCTCTAGTGTAGGACACACCATCATTATTCTGATGTGGATATCTATTATATGTCAAGGTTTGGATGTAGCCGGTGCTCACAGTATAATCTGGTAAAACAAAAGGCAGAAACAGCGTTTGAGGAAGGCCAGGCTTTGCTAACACTCATATCGCCAAGACCACCTACTTGTGTGTAGTTAGATCAATTGTGTATTCATACTTAGGAGCAGCCCAAAGCTATGAAGACTGAATTACCACCATTAAAATGGAGAGGGTGCATAGTAGGGCAAATTGTGCCAGCAAATAGCAGAAGACACTGTGCCATGAAATGAATGGTGTTCATTCTGTAACTGTTATTCATTAAACCTGGTTCAAGGAAATGGCTTGCCGGAGCCTCAGTCTCCTCGCCTGAAAAGTGGGATAGTAACACTTACTTTGCAGGATAACCAGCACACTTAGTGATAGATAACCCACAACCCAGGGTACATCCACGTGTTAGAGCCACAGTTGGGCTCTCACAGAAGCCAACCTAGCAGAGCTGGAAATGGTGTGTTTGTATGCAGCTGTTTCCTTCCCCTCTTGACTGCTTGCAGTGTACTTTCAGCTGCCATTTTTACAATACCGTCTTCTCAAATAGGGAGTCTGAAAAGATGGACCCACCCTTTGTGCTTGTAAAAGTTTGTCAGATAATAACCCGGAATTCCTTTTTCTGAAGCCAGCCCTCAAGCCACACAGGCGAGGGGCCAGTCTGCCAAAGGCTAGCCAGTTCCCTTCGGCCTAGATGGTTCCCCGAAATATTCCTTGTATTGCTTTTAAAGTACCATCCTCTGCCGAAACTTCTAAACCCACCAGGAAAGCCTTAGTTGTGTAGTTTTCAGATGAAGCCAGAAAATGTTTTGGGATGTTAACTCCAATGATAGCAAAAAAAAAAAAAAAAAGAAGAAGAAGAACCACATTTAACATTGACTTGTCATCAAGCCATCTCATTCTTGATAATCACCAGGGTTAGCTGTTTTAGATTGAACCCGGGAGTGGAAGACACAATTTACAACAATCCTTGGGGAGAGTCAAAGTTGGCCCCAGGGACTTAGAAACAGGGAAAACACCTGCAGACCTTGCGCACTCAAGGACTTGGCTCAAAGCTCAGATGCAGCCTCGTAGAGCGGCCTGGGGGTGGGGTGGGGAAGAGGGGCACGGCGTCCAAGGGCTTGGGGCAGTGTAGGCAGCATGGGTTGAGCAGCCGAGAGTCCCCACCATGCCTACCTGCCCAGCTCCTGCAGCCGGGAGGGCTTGCAGCACAGGGGAGAGTGGTTTATGCACCGCTCGGGAAATCACCTGTCCGCATGGCCATTTTGGAGGGGAGGGGGTTGATCATTAGGCCCCGTCTGCTTTATATGCTTTGGACAACACGAAAGGGTACGCAGGTGGAAGTTAGGGAACTTTCAGGAAGCTGGGCAGTGGGAGGCCACGGGGTCACGGGGCGGGGGTGGCTCCCCGAGTTATTTGGCTCCGAAGTCCGCTCTGTGCTTCCTTTTGCAGAGGCGCCCCCTTCTGCACCGGCTGGGTGGCTTTCAGGTGCAAACGCGCCCTGAAGACGGTGAGCCGGCAGGGGAGAGGCGGGTCTGCAGCGGGGGGCCCGGGGCGCGGCCGCGGCTCCTCACTGCGCCAACGGGCCGCGGCCTTCCCACGGCACCCACCGCGCCCACCGCACCCACCGCCGCCGCCCCGGGCCGGGCGCGGGCAGCAGTCGGAGCCGCCGGCAGCCGGCGAGCGGAACCTCGGCTCCGGACCGCAGCAGCCGCCGGCCCTGCCCGCGCACAGGCTGCTCCTCCCCTCGCCTGCCTCGAGTCCCACCCCCTCTCCTCCTCCTCCTCCTGCCCGGCAGCGCGCTCCTCGTGCCCGCTCGTTCCTTCGCCGGCTTCTTCTGCAGCGCCCGCTCCGGGCCTCCCCCTCGCTCGCCCCCCGGCGCCCCGGCGCGCGTCCCGAGCCCGCTGCGCGCTGGCCGCCGCCCGGTCATGTCAGGATGGAGATCCGGCAGCACGAGTGGCTCTCGGCCTCCCCCCACGAGGGCTTCGAGCAGATGAGGCTCAAAAGCCGCCCCAAGGAGCCTTCACCGAGCCTGACCCGAGTGGGCGCGAACTTCTATAGCAGCGTCAAGCAGCAGGACTACAGCGCCAGCGTCTGGCTTCGGAGGAAAGACAAGCTGGAACACGTAAGGGTGACTGGCTCCCTGGGGCCTCGGCGCGCGCAGGGGGGCAGGGTGGGGGCGTGTGGGTCCCCTGTCCTGGCCGGGGGGTCCTCGTTGGGCACTGTCTTGTTTCAGTGACCGGTCTGTCGGAACGGGCTGGGGGGAAGTTCCCGCTCGGGCTCTGCCTGGCCGCTGCACTTTAGGACAGGCTACTCGCTATACTGTGTTTCTGGGGTACACCGGTGGGTTGAGCAAGAAGTGGAGGTGCTACGAGCGTAATTACGAACAACTCGGTGCTGCACAGTAGCAGGTTTTAGGGAGTCGTTTGCCAGTGTCTCGGCATGCGGGGCGAATTTAACCCAGTCGGGAAATTGACAAATTACCGAAACCCTAAAGTTGTCGCTAGCCACCAAGACGGAGTGAGTGCACGCACAAACTAGTTTTCTGCCGGGTGTCCGCTGGGACGAGCAGTTTGGGGATCTTCGCTCTCTCCGCCTGAGCCCAACTAGGGAGAGATTTGTGCGTTTCAAGGAGAGGAAAAGGGGGAGAGGGAGCTGGTTGTTTCTGCGCCGTTAACACCTGCGGCCCTGGAGCGTGGAACCCTGGGGATAGTTGGAACCTGCGCTCCAGCAAAGTACGGCTTCTAGCAAGCCAGGCAGTACTGGTCCTGGGCTTGAGCCTCTAAGGCTTGCTATGCATTCCGCCAAGGAAAATGTCCTTTAAAAGGGGGGTGCTTTAGTTGCTCCACAGTTTCAAATGTAACCCTGCAGCACCTTCCTCCACCAGGTGTTACAGTGAATCTAAGAGAACCATGTCAAGAGCGAAGCACAGGTTAGCTGTGGGGAAAATGCTGTTTCTTCCCCCCAGCGCTGCACAGCCCAGGTTGAGGCTGTTAATGGAATGAGGTTTCCTCATATTGGGTCGCAATGGATGCTAAGACCGCGAACTCCTGGAACGCACGGGTCTCCTACAGCTACACCTGAGTCTCATCTGTCCCGCCTCCCCTCCTCTACCCGCTTCCCCCAAGCTCCTCACCTGGGCTTTGCAACGCTTACAGGCTTCCCAATCAGAAGCTTGCTGAGAGCTGTTTATCAGGATGTGAAAGGAGCTCTCTGCGCCCCCCTTTTTTTTTTCTGGCGGGGGGATGGGGGCAATATGGGAGTCTTATTAAGTCACTGAAAGCTGCATTTTAAAGCTTTAAGTTGGATAGCCAGCTCTGGCTTGTGTGTAATGAGTCGTTTGCTAATATCAAAAGGCTCCTCTTGGATCCTTAGGAAACAGGAAGTAACTTAAGGAAATGTTTAGGATGTCAAGTATTTTTTGTTTGTTTTTCTTGAGAAGTAACAGCATACTTTAAAAAAATGCATGCTGCAAAATTAGTGGAAGGACTGGTGATGTTATTAAAAAGACAAGGTAGCATCTGTGTAATTTGGATCTTGATTTGGGTCGCTGATTTGGGTACCAGGAAAAGTCGTCTGGCCTTAGCATGAAGGTAGGGCACAACTTCGGTTTTGTTCTCCGCTCTGGGTGCTGCTGTGCAGCCTGTGCCCTTAGCTGATCTACTTCCTATATTCTCTTCCTGAAAACCCATAGTGCATCCTTCCATGTCTTCCTGAGTCAGAGACGCTGCTCCCGTTTCCCTGAGCTGCTTTTTCACTTTGAGGTGTTTCATCGAAAGTGTGAAGTCCACCGTGTGAGCTGTGGAGGTCTTACCTTTCTAACCCAGCCTAGGATGCTAGGTGCCCCCCGGGCCGAGAGGCAAGGCAGACCTGGTTGTTTGAAAGCAGAATGTCTGTGCTATCTCCTTCACTCAGATGTTCTGAGAGACAGCCTTGCATTCATGAAAAAAAAATCAATCTCATTTGTTATTTAAATCAGTGTAGCATTTGTTTTGCTTTCTCAAAGCCATTTCCCAAGACATGCTTTTTCTCTGATGTTTTGCTCTCTACCTACTCTCAACTAGATAAAGAACTTCTCTTCAGATGAATTTTTTTTCATGCTATTCTCTTTTTAAAAACATGAGCATTTTCAATGAGTTAAGGTATGAAAAATATTAAGCTCCTATGAAAAATGTAATTTTTATTTGAATCCAAGCACTTAGTTTTTAAAAAGTGTCATCTTTCATATGCTGGGAGGTTGCAGGGAGTTCAAATTCAAATGTGATATTTGAGATTTAATACCCCCTAAAAATGTACCTGATGTGTTGTTGCACTACAATGCTGACTGCAGTATAAACAACATCCCAAACCTGTGTGATGCTTTCTGATGCAGAAGTTGTGTGGACTAGGATGAGCGTGTCTTAGGGATTCTAAGGTGATATATGTGATGGCTTGAAAACACACTTCTGTTTAATCAAATGGATGACTACTTTTTTATTATCTAGAAGAATGAATTAGTAATTATGACAGAGATCATATGCCTAAAAACAGCCTACTCAGTTCTTTTGCTGGTGCTTTTAAAGCCAGTCTTGTATTAAGGGAATAAATAAGTTATGACTTCAAATGACAGTTGTATTCAGTCATCACAATAATGGAATTCCCTGAGATGAAATGTGGCATTGTGTGGACTCTGTCCAGACTTCAGAGGCATGGCTTAATCTGAAAGTCAATAATGTGATATAAAATGACAGTGAAAGAATTTATTTCCACCCTCTTTGGTAAAATTGAGCACAGTTTCTCTCCTTTTCTGGTTTAACAACTACAGAACTAGCATCCAGGTTGGACAAGAGAAAAGTGACGTGAATCGATTGAGGACTGGAATTGTTTGAAATGATCTTTGCATTGGGTTCCTGTCATTGCTTGGTGTGTACTTGAGATGAATGCCTATTGAGACCTATGTGTAGGTAGGGGATTCTTTTATTCCTGTGTCTTGGTTAGATGTCACGAGGAAGCTATGTTCTGCACTGTGAATTTTGCAGCTCCGCTTGGAAAAATCAAGAACAAAGTAAACTTTTTGGCCACATGGAGAATGTTGTCTTACTGTGAAAAAATGCTCTTTGTTCCTTAGAATCTTTCCCTTCCTCAAAATGCCTGTGGCTTTAGAAAGCATAGAATTAGAAGTTTTATTCACTGCAAGATCCTATAGTCACTTGAGTTCTAGTGTAAAAGTGAAGGATTATGGTCTGGAGTTCCCTCTAGGTTTAAGGAGCCACTCCGCCAGTCCCTGATCCATCCTTGTTGCCTCACTTTGAAGCTAGGCATTGAATAGGGTTTGGCTAATTCCAGAGGAAATTGTACCATTAAGTTGGAGTCGTTTGGTGCTGGGTACCCTTTTTGAACTTTACCTTTAGAAAGGGAGAGAGACAGACACTTTTTTGCTCATCTTCAGGGTTTTGTGCCAGTGTGACTACAGAGGCTTCTTGGTTTTATTTGTGACAGTGCGACACCCTGTTTTCTCTACTACTTCATTGGCTGTTACTAAAATAATAATTGTCTCTGGGTAGATACACCTGAGTTTAGATTTTTGACTCTGATAGACCATCTGTTAGGTGTCAGGGGCATCACTCAGTGCTTTTCCCTGATGTTTCTCAGCTGTGCAGGTTGGCTGGGGACTCAGTTTGTGTTGGCTTGCCTGATGGAGTCTCCCTTCTGATTGCCAAGGCTGCTTCAGGGGGTGTTGGGGAATGGGGAAATGGCTCAATGCTTCCATTAGGAATAATTCATCCATACTACATGTTTATTGATCAAAGGTTCATGGCCAAGACTCACTTCGACAGGACTAGAAAAGAGAAAGGTGACCAAGGCCCAGAAAGAAAATGAGCACATTGCCAATCAGTGCTGATTAGAACTAACCCAGCACATGGAGCAGTGTTTGGCCTATGTTAAATGCCCAGCACCTGGTTGTCATTACTTCTCAGGTGTGGTCTGGTTGTCCAGCTCAACCCTCAGAAGCCACCCAGAGAGCTTCCACACTCAAAATTGCCTGTATTTTTCACAACACAGCCTGCATTATTGTCCTGAGCCTTTGGAATATAGCTACTGTGGCCAGCAAGGGCAGCTCAGTATCCTGGGCCTGTTACACTGTGTCTTTATCTGGCTTTCAATCCGGTCTGGGAAATATGACTCTGGGCTCCAGAGGATCTGATTTGCTTGCTGCTTGTCCCTTCTGAAGCTGATTCTTCTGGTATATATCCTACATACTGCACCTTGCTCCATTCCCAATCTATGCCTTCTATCCTACTATGGGCTGGTAAGATTAAGTCAAATGACATTTCACTTACCTGCAAAGTGGCTCAGAAAGCCAATTTAAAAATGGCAAGAGAAAGCAGAAGAGAAAGTCAGTAAAAAGTAAAAGGGCAGAAACTGTAAGGTCACACTTGTAGTGAACCATAATATCTTGGTTTAGTAAATGCCTCAAACATGAAAATTTTCTTCTCCACATGTGAATTTGCATCAACTTGAATAGAGTTTGTTACCAATGAAGATTAAATAAATGCCAGTATACACTGCCTCTTGATATGAATAATTCACAGAATGAGCCGGGAATAAATGGATTAGAGCACACTTGGTCACAGTGGTCTTGGCTCACATTATGTAATGCCATTTGTGTCCCACAGAGCAGATCTGTGAATGTATTATAGTCCACAGAACAGGTCAGCAAAGCACCAGAAGACAAAGTTCAACCTAAAGGAATGAATCTTTAAAACGTTCCATTAAGAATCAGGCAGATAAGCGTACACAGCCTGGCATAACTTAAGAATGTGAACATTTACTAGGATTATAGATAAACAAAACAGACAAACTCTATGCTGAGGCAGGATTCTTTGCTTGTCTAACTGATCAAGAAATCAAAGTTTGGATGTCTGTACATAAGTTCTAATGGGTTTTGGTATTGTGTTCATTGTTACATTTGTCACTACGTAGTGAACACGTAGTAACCCACTAAAGAACTGCTCGCCCTGAGGGTTGACCCTGGGTGCTTCTGAAGGATCTTTAGTTGCTTTGAGCTCTGGTGAGTGTGGCTTGGTGACTTACTTAACATAATCATAGTTTATGACATACTTAATATGTTTAACTTGACAGGAT